AAATTATAGACCGTTAATCTGTACTCCGCTTTAAGCATGATGCACTAGTGTCTAGATGGTATACAGACAATCAGCTAAGTTAACCACTTTATAAATTATGCATTATCATAAAACAAAATTTATTTTATTCAACAGTGACGCCTATTTTACAATTGCTAGAAAAGTCAATGGACGAAGTGCATCATTTTTAAACCCCAAAATAAACTATAAACCATTCAGTGCTTATAACTATAGTTTCCAGTTGGCATTCGTAAATGTTTATCTAATTATTTATATCTTATTCGGCTGATGATATTTAACTGTGTTTTTCAATTTTTGAATAAGTTTAAAAGCCGTTGAGTAAAATAAATATATAAATTCTCAATAAATATATTGCCTAGAAATTTACATAAATCTTATGTAGTTTATAAAAAACTAGATCATTTGTCATAAAAACACCCATATGAAGTGTATAATACATAAAATAAAATAACGTTTTTAAAATAACGTCTATTGAGACAACGTTGAACAATTAGTCAATGTTAAGCTCTTTATTACGTTTCATTAAACAACAACTTTCTCCACGCGGACCCCCGCTGATGCTGATATGCATATTTACTGTATATTTTTACATTATACGATATTTATTATTCAAATACGAAAAACACCTAACAAGATGAAATACATCAAAACAACACAACTCTAAAAATTCAGACGATTCTTTACTTTATAATATATTGTCAAATATGATAAATTAACAAATGCCATTAAAACCCATATTTCAATTAAAAGCAAAATACGATAATAATATACAAATTATTGAGTAGGTGGTTGTAATAAACAGTAGAAACTAGAAAGAACCAAAAATACTTCAATTTTGTAATACGAAATAACTAGTAAAAATATTCAAATGTAATACATAACATAAGGAAAAATAATATTTTCAGGGTGACATGTTATGCGAAACTTGTCTTCCAACATCTCTATAATAAGACCGAACAATATAGAAAGTATATTTTAGGATATTTACATAGATAGGGAGCATAATAATTTCAACTATGAATATAGTTTATTTAAAATAATTTTAAATTTCTATTTTAGAGTATTAATTAAATATAGCTGGTTATTATACATTCTTTTATTAATTTATTAATAAAAACCTATTAGTTTCTTTGAAATGCATAACACAGAAGATAAAATATTTTTAAAAATTTTGAATTGGTTTACTTATGATTAGAAGACATTATTATTCATTCAGTTCAATCTGGTTAAAAAAAATGCTATTCAATACGGACAGATGTAATTTTAAGTGCCCAAGGGCGGTTTCTTTTATCTCTTTGTCAACACTGGAAGCGGTACATACAGTTTTTTTTAGTTTTTTGCTCAAGGCAAAAACTTTATAATCCCTTTGTAAATGCTCAAATCTAAAAAGGAATAGAACAGCACTTCATGCAATATTCTTTATAACCGATCCCTTTAAATTTAAACTATAATTGAAGAGCAATTTAAAAAACTTAATAGTTTTTAAATTAAATATGTAGTACTAAATAAGAGAGTTTGTCATTTTTCAGATGAATGACAAATATAATATATTATAATAATATTATATTATACGCACAGCCAATAGATATGCGTATGAGTCATAACTCATGAAAAAATAAAACATTTTTTCAGTACGCACTTTAATCTATTAATTATTTTATTTTTTTGGAACCTTTGAGGTATTTTATCAATCGATTATGAATTCCTTAACCATGCACTTAAATCACCAGCATTATTAAGTTTACAAACTGTAATTACAATTTTAATAGTATATACCATGTGTTTGCCACAGTGGCGGATCTAGGAGATGGAGGAAATATGAGGCGTGACTATTTATCATTTACATTTTTAAATTTGCTAACTTATGAGGAACTTTGTATAAACCAAGCTTTTTATCCTAGCGATAACTATTAGACTGATGTTTATAAAAAACAAAGATTTAAAATATCTATAAATAGCTTAAAAAGATTCAAAACATTTTAAACATTTTGTTATAAATATCAAATTATAAAACAAAAATCTGGTGAAGTATCTGAGTTTATTCGTTTTTGAATTATAACAATATAAAAAAGTCATTCTATGAGAAATCATTAGTTAATGGTTGAAAATCTAATGTCATTAAAATATGTACTTCAAACACGAAATACTAATATACCTAAATGTCATGTGACTTTCCGATAAACTTTTATTTTTTGTTAAAAGTAGAAAAATTATGAGGAATCTTGTATTAAATTTTCAAAACATACGAGGTATAAAAAAAAAAATTTATGAATTTCTAATTCAAAATAATTTGAAAATTGTTATGATTTTTGTCAAAATTCTAACTTTAAATTTATCAAAAATATTGTTAATGTGTATTTTTGAGATTTTTTATTGGTATATGAAAAAATTATGAGAAACCTCTTATCACATTTTCAAACTTTTTGACAAGGTGAAAAAATGTTATCGACAATTATAGAAAAAAAAATTGAAAATTGAATAACTCAAAAAGAGTCAACATATTTTGAACATTTCACAGTATACAGAGAGTAGATGAGTATATTTTTAATAATTTAATACAAAGTTGCTATGTAGACAGTCCATAAAACAATACCTGTGTCTCCCAAGTAATCGATATGGCACGGTCGTAAAGAAAATGTAATATTGTCTTATTAAAAAATATAATATATTAATGTATACTTACAATTACACATGTATATATATAATATATATATAGTATATACATACAATATTTCATATTCCCTCCCTTAATAAAATTCTTAATCCACCATTGGTTTGCAATATTATCCGCATAATATGCTATACCCTGATCTCATAATCAATACGAGTTATTATTATTTTATTATTCTATACATAAGATCAGTCTAACCTAACCTCAAAACGAAATATTCCTGTCAAATAACACCGGATAAAAATTAGGTTTCTAGGAGGATCTAGGAAATACTAGGAAATACAAAATACACTATTTTTGACTATTTTAAAATGTTTAGATGTTTCATTATGCGAATTGCCCAATACAACTTGGCACTTGCTGTTTTTAATTGGCAACACATTTTTTCAATGCCAGATTTTAGTAGACCGAAGTTTTCTAAATCATTTTGGGGTAAAGTAGTGTTTTAATTCATTTAGTAAATTGTCGAATTTTCAATAATAATTCTAATTTTCCAAATTTCCATACGATTTCGAGTGTTTTTTAAGTTGTAACTTAACTCGGTGTAATTTCGTCAATTTTTAGTTTTAAAGGCATAGTTAAAAGATAGAAATGACTTAAAAACAATTGGTCTATCCAGATCTAGTGTTTAAAATACATGTTCTTATTTAAAAAATTGTATTACGCATTTACGCATGCGCACAACGAAAGAACTAAACATTTTAAAATCGTCAAATAATATGTATTTCAGTATTCCATAGCTTTTGCTAAAATTCTGATGTCACCAAACAGAAATATTTAAAGAGAAGTATCTTTTCCTTATGTATTATGTAATAGTAAAGTACCAATAGTACCATCATAGGCGGACATTTAGTTAAATTTTCGGGTCTAACATCTAAGCCCTCGAAACCCTTCCCCCACATCCAACTGTTATAATGCGTTACTAACAAAAATATAAGTATACTATAACGAATGACAAAAGACATTAAGTAATAATTATGTACTAATATTATTAATTAGTATTTAGTATTAATTTTATTCTTATTATTATTTTTATTTTAAAATCTGAGTGGCACACTTGACAATTCAATTGGTACATAAGTAATCACAAAAACGTCGAAAACAAAACTCTCACAATTTCCGTAATCCGTAATCTGCGTTTTTCTTTATTCGACATTAATTATCGCAACTTCTAATCATATTATTCTATGACCATTTTTGGAACTTAAGACCTTGTTTAGATTTTCAAAGTTATTTGTTTGCTAAATATTTTGAAAACGTTAAAAAATAATATAATAGATCGATAACTACTAAAAAAAAATAACAGTAATAATTAAAAGTCGAATAAAGCTTAATTTTTTTTTAGGGGGGGGGCTATTGAAATGTATGGCTTTAGCCCTATAAGCACACCCCCTCCCAATTTACTTTCTTTACAATTTGCACATAACAATAAAAAACAAAATCATCAGATCTTGTTATTAATTTTGATTAAAATTGTAAGAAATATTGACACCTGTGGATGAAATAACAACCAACAATTAGGTCAGTTGTAGCTTCTGGATAATATTTATCCTTATTTTTTATTGGTTTATTTAAGTAAATTCTTGTCTCCCAAACATATTAAATAAATAAGAAAAAATGTAAAAAAATTACAAAGTTTTGTAATATAATATAAAATACATGATAAACCAAAATAATATTGTTTGATTAACATACAAATGCAGTGTCAGCCTGGCACACAAAAGGCCCATGGATCATTTATGTTAAGGAGCCCAATAATTAAATACATATAAAGGCTCCAAAAAAATGTAGATAACATTAAAATGAAACAATTTGTCTTTACCCTGGACCCCAATAATTCTCAGGATGGCAATATCTTAATGAAAAAATCTCTAAGGAAAAATTGGTCCTAAAAATAATGTCCTATATAGAAAAGAAACACGCCAAACAAATAAAAAATTTAAGAGACCAGGGATGGACACCAGGTCGACACTGCATAAAATTCAAAATTTATTCAACAGCTAATTTTAATTTAAGTAAGCACATATTTTCTATACTAGATGTAAGACAGCTATATTATATACCTTTTATATTGTAAGGATTGTGGAACAAAAAGTTTAAAAAACAGTAATTTTAATATTAATAACTATAAATTAGTTGATATAGTTAGAGATAAGATTTCAAACCTCAAATTTGTATACTTTATGGACTACTTTTCTTCAAATCTTAAATGACTCATTTTAGAGGGGTTTCAAAGAATAGACAACTACTTAAAAATTGTGTAAAATTTAACTCAAAGGATTTTAAATAAAAATAAAATATCACTAACCTGTTAGATGATTTCCAGTAAATTCAAAGTCGTCGTCTTGATCCCAATGTTTTAATGACAGATTATTAAGCGGAGTAGCATTGGCGAATTCCAAATTTGCAAAATGCCAGTCCAGAATTTGACGATCTTTAGTTGATAGATATACATCACTAAAAATAAAACATCTCTCATATTATTTGATACAAAAATAATAAAACAAAATATAAACTTATAAAATAATACCCTTTGAAATAGAGGCTGAAACACAGTACTTACTCAGAATCGTTTGTTATATTAAATAACTATAGTATATTACTAATCTACTCAATGACGAGGCATACTCAAAATATTTCTACACAGAACCACGTCTCTAGTTTGTTTTAATTTATTATATTTTATTAATGTAATTAATACATAAAAATACAGTCAAAAGTGCTCCAAGCATTTAAAAATAAGTTCAACTAATAGAAATATTACAAGGAATCTTAATCGATTTTCAGAGCAACAAAGTTTAAGTAATTTATTGAGCACTAGCTATAACATACAATTTATAAGTTATAATTTGAGTTAAAATAAATATTAAAATAAAATAGTAAAAAAAATAGTTGTACTAAATAAACTATATCTATGTATGAAAATTTAATATTAATATACCTTGGTGGAGATGCTTCCATTTCTTTTAGTTTTTCTTCGATTTCATTCTTTTCCTCTATTAATTCATCCCATTGCTACATAAATAAATACATACATTTAATATCATCACAATAATATTCATTATCTTTATAAAAAAAAAATATTTAGTTATAAAGATTTATCCTTTTTTGTAAAATAATATACACTTACTTTGAGATTAATGGCTATTTCTCTCTTAGCTGAAAGGTATGCAAAATTTGAGCTAGCATCATTACATTTTTCCTCAGCATTCTCTTTTTTCTGTGTAGATAAATCTTTTAGAATGTCTTGCACTTCAAGTAACTAAAAAAAATTTTCTCAATATAGGACATTAGATATAATATGAATAATAGTAATTATGTTATTATTGAATATACTTTTTTATAATTTGTTTTCAGTCGTTCTTGTAAAGCTACAACACTTTTCATATACTGAATCAATTTCTCTTTAACATGTTTCTCTTGTAATCTATGATATACAAAATGTAAAAAAATTAATGATATAGCATAATATTTTAATTAACATTTTTTATTTAAATTATGGAGGATTTCCCAGTGGAAATTACTAAATGAAGACATTTTTGGTTGTTATCTCTAGGCTAAATTTTCTAGAGTGAAAATACAATCATAAATTCATAACTCTTAATATTAATGAAAAAACTTGTAATATAGTAAAGAATACAAACTTTATAACCCATTCCAGTGCGTGACCTAGTGAAACAGGTTTTCCATTACAATAATTGAAGTCTAAATGATGAGATAAATAACTAGTAGCTTCCAAAAGACGATTGAATTCTCTCTCAACCATTTCATCTTTATCTTTAGGAACTTGCTATAGTACAAAAATTATTCCATTAAAATGTTATATATTTAATAATTTAATGAATGAAGTTTTTACTTACAGTAGATACCAATGCATTCAATTTCCCAGGTTCATATAATGGACATTTTTGACGTATCCGATGAAGTTCCATGTTAATTTGTTTAGATAGCACTGTCACTGGATTACCTCCTAAACCAGTAACTACCATTGCACCCAAATCAGCGACATAACTATTTTTACGAAAAGTAGCAATGCGCCCACCAACTCGATCCTTAAAAAAATAATCATTTAAGTATAAAATTAATGCTAAATGTAAGATATATTATAGTACCCTTGCTTCTAAAACAATAACTTCCATGCCAAATTGTTGCATTTGTTGAGCAGCAGCTAGTCCTGCTATACCAGCACCAATCACAATAGCTTTTCCTACTTTTTTTACAGGTAGAGGCTATAAACATAAGTAATTAATAAATAGTATTTTCATTAAAAATTGTTTTTTTGATATGCAATAACATTACAACTAAATATCATACTCTTACTTTTAATCTCTTAAACACCCCAAAGTTTATGAACCCATGACGCTCCAAGTATGCATAAATCCGTTGAATAAGAGCTTTATCAGTATTAAAAGGTGGCTCAATCAATGGGAGAGCAGATTCAAAAAGTAATTGTTGTTTTGGATTATCCAACCATTGTTGTAACTAATGATAAAACAAAATAATGGTAACTTTTTACTAAAATTCTCCTAGAATAACATTAGTATTTAGTTACCAATCGATTGCGAATGTGTAAAAAAACTTTCTGAGTTTGAGTTGGTCCGTGAGCTACGTCCGAAAAACAGTAGGCTTCATTTGAAGTCATTTTATCAAATGGTAGACGACTATGAAATGCTGCTCCTTCCAAACCTAATAAATTAAAAATGTATTTTATACATAATATTAAAAAAACATATCTTAAATTCTTAAAATATAGTTGGTACCAAACTTAAAAACAATATACTTAAGGAACCAAATTATTCAAAAAATTTTCAAGATAAACTCTATTGAAAAAAATTAAAGATTGAATAAATAAATTAAACTTAAAAGCTTAAAAAAGTTTGAAATCGATTTGGTTATTGTATTGAGACAACATTTTAAAGTAAAGCCATTATTGGCTTATAAAGTTATATAGGTAGAAAACAAATGTTACCCAGAGTTTGAAAATTTGAATTAAAAATACAAATTTTCATTTAATATTGTATCATTATTTAATGATTGAAAAAACTAATTTTACCTGTGGGATCATCTTGTTCGGAGTCCAATTCAAAATCATTCTCCTCTTTCATTGGTGTTGCATTATCCTCAGATACATTATTGTCAGGAGCGCTATCAGTGACATTAGGAGAAGCTTCATCTTCATTGGGTGCACCTGAATTCAACTAATAAAAAAAGCTCAAAGTAATTTATAATGCTCTATATAAAATCAAAAATGTAATCTTACTCGAATCCGCTTGCGACGATTAATTAATGCACTCATGGCTATTACTTTGGACAAAAAATTAATGAGTTCACAATTCTGCAACAACAATGAACTGATTGGAGGTACAGTTTATTATAACTTCTAAATAAAAATAGAAAAATAAAATTATTAGGTTGATGTAAGTTTTGAAATAGTTTCTAATTTAAATTACAGACTTGTCTGTATTTATGAATTAAATTTGTTAAGAAAATATTTTACATAAATGTATAGAAAAAACACTCACCGAAGTATATTTGATGAATTATCAATGTCGAAATAAACGAGAACCGAAAAGAGACGATTTACGGAACACGAATAGGACAACAAGTAAATTCAAATTCAAATTTCAAATGAAAAATGAAGCAGAACTACAAAACGTTCAAAACATCTGTCGCAAATATTCATAAGCACAGCTGCAGCAATTGAGTTTGGCGCTCATTGTGATAATGATAACAAAATACCGGGAATTTTCAGAAAATCAGAATGCAATTAGTAGTATAGTACGGTTCTAACTTCAAAATTTTTTTAATAATTCTAAAACTTGTAAAATTACAACTCGTGCAATTTATATCCCTAATAGTTATTATTCTCTGTGGTACTAAAATAATAAAAATATTATACTTTCATTTTTCATAAATGCATACAACCAATAGATAATTTATCGTAAAATCAAAGTTCAAACTATTTGGCGGGGAACTTAAAAATGATTACTTTTCGTCAATCTTTTAAGTTAGGCCATCAGTGTAATTTTAATTAACAAAAATAATTTCTCTACGCATTAGCATTTAGCACCAAACACAATTAAATTTGGTAATCAAAACAAATTTGAAATTATAAATTATAATATCACACGCTGATACCCTGATTATGTGATATCACTATTTAAATGATAGCTTCTTGATAAATGTTAGGTTATTTTGTATACTATATATTATACCTATCAAAAACGTGTTTGAATGTCAATTTACAATTACTTTACTAAGCTTCAACGCTCTGTCGCTCTAGCTGATAGTACGAACTACGAGTTAAACGTTATGCCGTTATGGTAAGAAAGTCAAAAAATATTACTTATTGTTATTTTATAAGTAATTACATCCATCCATTATTTTCTAACATACCAAGAGTCTAAAATACTATTCAATAAATACCTAAGTTGTGAGTAAATTAAATATATTTTTTATGATTAGTGGTAGTGAAACTATAGTAATAACCAATAAGTAATACCTTATTTACATTTACTCTAATAAATGTAATTGCATTAATTAAAAATAACATTTTCAGATAATCTTTTCAAATGTCCATTTATCACGACGAAGTAGAAATAGAAGATTTTGAATATGACGAAGACGATGAAATGTATTATTATCCATGTCCATGTGGAGATCGTTTTCAAATAACTAAAGTATTTAAATAATTAAATTATACCTAATTATTACATATCTTAATATTTAATTACACATAATATTTAATGAAAAATTAGGTTTTTAGTTAGGTACCTACCTATTTTTTTTCTATGATTTACAGAAATACAAGTTTCACACTAATATGAATTATTCAAAACATTCTCTTTCCATAATATTTAAAATTATAAATGTGCAATGTTAAACTTAAATGTCCTTGTTTTTAGTTAACTTATATTTTATTGTAATAGCATGATGAAAGAAAACAAAATGTTCATTCCTATGAAAGTTTAAAAACTGTTTTTCCTATTTTATTATTATCATTTTACATAATTATATAGCCTGTAAATAGACCATACTATTTTCAAATTGATAACCATACTTACTTGGTAGACAACTTGTGCTCAGGGGCATGGCATTTTTACATTATAGGTTTATTCCGTACACATGGTTAACTTGGTTGGGGCAACAAATGTATGTTGTCTGAGCATGGGCTGATAGGCCTGCCGGGAAACCGGGCATTTCCCGGTGGGCCCTCCTTCATATTTCGGTAATGGGGCCCTTTAATAAAATGCAATTACCTACGATAGAAATAATTTGAAATTTTTTTTTCATGGGGGGGGGCCCTTTATAAAATTTCCCGGTAGGCCAAAATTGGCCTATACGCCCATGTGCCTGAGTGCCACCCCACATAAACTAGTTGGTACCTAGTACGGTTTATATTTTAAAAGTTTTAATTAGTAAATAATTTTATTAAATAATAAATGTACTAAATTTGATACAAAATATATTCAGTATGTCTTACTACAATAATGTTATTAATTTTTTTCTAAATACTGAACATATTATAAATACATTTAAGAAATTGTTTAATTTCCATTTATCTTTTATTCATAATGTGATTAGTTTAATACATTTCTCAATGTAGAATTTGTATATTTTTAATTACAATAAGCTTATAATTTTTTTTAGGAAGAATTAGAATCTGGAGAAACTGATGCTACTTGCCCAAGCTGTTCATTGGTTGTAAAAGTTATTTATGACCCTGTAAGTGTATTTTTATATCTTGTGGAAGTTAATATTTTTAGATATTGTAATCCTATTTGAAACAAAGCACACATTTGCTAAATTGAATGGTTTATAAAACTAGTGTCTTTACATGTCTTGTAAATTGTTATTAATATCAATACATTCAGTTATATTATATTTCAATATGGCTTGCATTAACTACATATTATGTTTCATTATACTACATTAATAGTACAAATTTCCTATTACATTCTTAAAAAAATATTTATTATTTTTCTCAATACTATTATCCATTTAAAAAAAAATTTAGTAATTTAGGTTGTTTTTTTTTTATTGAAATTTTGTAATTTACAATCAATCTCGACAATTAAGTGTACATGCTATAAGTAATTTTATGAGCAACCCGTAATTTAGGTTAGTTTTTAAATTAATATTAAAATATTTCATTTTTATAGAAATATTTAAATATGTATTAAACTATTATCTTAATGACTTAAACAAACATGTACATTTATACATCATGTATTTTAATCAAGATTTCTAAGTTCTTGCCATAACATTTGATTGAATAGTTTTTAGACATAGCCTATAGTATTAAAATTCCTTGAACTAAAATCATTACTGTGGTTAATACTTAATACAACATTTTATAATATATACCTATTAATTTTTAAAGCAATTTTGTAACACTGATGCAAATGATAAATTTATCAGTAGTCTAATAGAGTGGTGAATATAACTTAACTTTATGAATCAATGTTTAGCTCGATTTCTACAACCTTGTTTATATTATGAATTATCTCACATTTAGTTACACATTTTTTTTTTACCAGGAAACTTTGCCGCATAAACAAACTATATCAACTAAAACAAAAAGCTTAGAAAAGTGTTAGTTTAATGGCTGGATCATCAAGAGGAAAGAGAGGAGGGGGGCGTGGAGGTGGTAATAATGTTGGTCGTCCACATATATCCATTGGTCCTGACAAATTAGAAGCAGATGACCCACTTGATTTTAAAGCCCCAGAACTCTTTCCACCTTTGCGGGCAACAGTTACTGAAATTGAAGAAGATAGTGAAGATGAAGATCTGATATCTTTTGAAAAGAAGTTAGCCAAGCATTTTAATAATTCTGCTTCATTTATTTCCAAAGAGGAGTTTACAAGCCCTTGGTCTTACCTTAAATCTATAGAAAATCATAACTACTTTCCACCATCGCTGTTACCAAAAAAAAAAAAAAGTTCACTGGATGATAAACCATTATCTGATAAACAATGGATGGAAAAGTTAAAATCTGAGGTGACTAATCATGATTATTTATCATTGCAAGAAGTTGTTTCTGCTAAAAAAAATAAAATTGACGATTTCCTTTGTCCTGCCAACAAAAAGAAAGCAAAAACTGATAATTCTACTACATCACTTTTGATTAATGAAAGTATTGCCAAAGAACTTGATGAAGAAGAAGACATTGATGTTGAAGATAGTGAAGAACCAAAAAAGAAAGAAGATGAAGAAAAAGATGAGCAGCCCAAAGACATCGAAGAAGAATTTGAAAGTGATGTGGATGACGAATTAGATGATGGTACAGATTACAATAAAAACTATTTTGATAATGGCGAAGGGTATGATGATGATGATGATGGTCTGGACGATAATGATGCAATTTATTAATTATATTGTGATAAATCCAAAATTTAATTTTATTGTAATTAGTTATTTTTATGGGTAATGCTAATTTATATTGAAACATAATTTATTGTGATTGATTTAATTTTATTAATACAAATTAAAACTAGATAAACTGTAGAAGTTATGTTAAATATTTGATTGCATCAATAATATATTACTATTATCATTTTATGTAAATATAAACCTTGAAATAACATTTCTCATGTATTTTTTTAATTAATCCTTTTTTGTGCTGTTTGTGCAACGAATAAAACATAATATTATATTTATTAATTTTTTACCTAACCTAAATCTGGTTAAAATTGTAATTATAATTTTAAGTCAACTACATGATGAATATACATTATATTATTAGTATATTATTATAATAATATCAATAATTCAATAAAATAAATTTCTATGCATTTACATATTTTTATTGATTAGTTTAAAAATGAACTATGTAAAATAAACATTTTAATCAGCCTAATGTGAAAATTAGTAAAATGTTATATCTATTGCATATTTTTTCCATATTTGGAACATGTCCAATTATTATACGTGTTCTATTATTATTAAAAAAAAACAATGCATATTATTATATTTTTGTCATTCTTGTGCGCAATTTAATAGAAAACATTAACTGACGTGTATTTACATACCTTCACTTCCCAGGCAATACATTAAATTATCTCTCATTTATTTTAGCTGAAATTCAATCTTTTTTTTTTTCCAGTTTTGAACCGACGGCGCCGCGGGGATTGCTTTCGCATTGCTGCCGCGACGCCGCAACTGAAATTCTATCTACTTTTTTTTAAGATAACTGAATACCTACATACAATACAGAATGTGCAATTCAATTTATACATGCTACTAATTAATTAATAATTCTATTTATTATGTAGGTAGGTACTTATTTAATAAACAAATAAAATGTATTTTATCTATATATTTTTTTACCTCTTTGTACAATTGAAATGACCGCTCCCTTACCATTCCTTTTTCGGCCAGTAGTTTTCTTTATTAACATTATTACCTACAACTGTGTGAAAAAATAAAACAATAAACTGTTATAACATATTACATTAATCGAGTAAAAATGAATATAGTCTCATAATACATACATAATAATAATAATTATGATAATAAAATATGCATTCACAAATACGTCGAAAATCAAGATTTCCTAATATAATAGTTGAATAAAAATTAATATAATCTTATAAAACCTATATAATAATAATTATAGTAAAAAAATATACATATAAGTACTTAATTGATTTTCCCATAATGCCTTTAAAATGGAAACGACATGGTATAACATATCGGCATTACCACAGAATATATTAAATTTAAATATATTTGAATATTTCATATATTCTGTAGCATTACTCTATAAAATACTGCCATACTATACTCTATTGCCTATACAGTCAATAGGACACATCACTATACTGATTAGGTCGGGTTTTACATTATATTATATTTTATATCAAAAAACTAACAATGATTAATACTGGTTAACCTTTATTCAAAGAAAACCAACTATAAACGAAATTATACTTACGAGTACATTGGTCATTGAAGACTGAAGGCTATAAAAATAGTAAAATTGCCAATTGTTTTATTTTATTATTTTTTCACCCAGTTGTTGGAAATAATGTTAATAAAAAAATTACTGGCTGAAAACAATGACGCCCATTGAAATGTAAATATTTATTTTTTTGCATATTTGAATGATATTAAATATTTAAATGCATTATTGCATACATTAGTGCATGCATTGGCGTGCGCACATGATCTGTCAGGCACGCCTTGTGATTTTTTCATGGGCCAAAGTGCACTCTGCTTCAATCATATTCAAACATATATTACCCAAATATTTGTCATAAACTCATAAATATAACTAAATCACCAAATTAAATTTTACATAATATTTTTAAAGTGAATTTGAAAAAAAATGAATGATTACACTATATGCACTCTATAGTTTAATATTGTGTGTACATAGTAGGGCTAAAAATTTAAAAACTAAGAATTGTATTAATTATGAGTACCTATCGCATAAAGGATGCTAAAGATTATGGGTGTCATGTAGTATTTTGAAAAACATAAACGAACATTCCAAGACTTCCACATCGTTCACCTTTTAAAATCATAACCGTATACCTAAGTATATTATGTGTATTACTGTATTAGTGTATTATACCTTTCCTACATTATTAAATATTTTATGAATGGAGTTAACTTTTTTTTTTCTCATCGTGTTATCAAGAACCAGGGGAGGAACTGGTATTGCCTCTCCCTCGGTCCCCATCGTTTATTGAGTTACCTACTGCTCCCAAAAAAAATAATTAAGAACTTTTACGAATTTATTTAAAGCTTAAACTTATAGATATAGGTTTTTTAAAGCTATAAAATATAGATAACAGTGTAACAAAGATTTAAGAGTTAAAGCAGACAATTTAGTGAATGCAAATTATGAAGAACACCTGGATGCTGATTTCATCAAAGAACTAATTCAGTTTAAAGCAATATTTTCATGTATGCCAGAAAATCAAAAAATATCAATACATTGTTTATTGAAAGCATTAACAATTTCTCCTATAATCACTACATTTCCATCAACAGAAATTGCATTAAAAATATTTACATGTTTGCATTGTTCAAACTCAAGTGGTGAACGATTTTCTGTTCTTAAAAATGTTAAAACATATCTTCGATCGTCATTATCAAATAAAAAAACTTAATGTTTATCAGTCTCATAGTCGCATGCATGGAAGCTGAGATTGCAAAGACTATTGATTGGAGTGAATTAGTTAGTAAATTTGCTAAAGGGAAAGCAAAGGAAAGAAAATAATTTTTATTATTTGTTTATGTAAAATGTAATGTAATTGAATAAAACTAAATTAAATTTAGATAAAGCTTTTCAACATTATAACTATATGTTAGCTAAGATAGCTTAATAAACTTATGGAGTCTCAAAAAAGTCATCCTAAACTTTTTCATATAGGTACCTACCTACCTTAAATACTAAATAACGTACTAGGAAATCAATAAGTGGAGGGTCTAAAGAAGGGAGGGGGACTATGGCCCTTAAAAATTAATACCCCTAGGCGCTAAAAACCTTAACACAGCCCTGATAATAGCCAATAGAATTCGGTATATAAATAATAAATTAGTAAAATTGTCTTTTTTAACTCGACAACATAATATATTATTATTATGATATTTGTTCAATTTGTTGTATTATACTATTATTACCCTTATTATTACAATTCATAATGTTTGATACTTTGATAGAATTAATAAATAGGTAATTATTATTAGGTATATTATTATTAAAAATAAAAAGTCTACCTAGGTTTAATAATATTAATATGACAAACGACCAAAAACAATTGAAATATCCATGGTAAATTTAATTTAATTTATCATGGAAATCTCATTCAAGATTTTATTTTATTTGGTTGGTACCTACTTGGTATAATATATATTATTTATTTCATCATACACTATTGATATTTGATATAGGACAGTTAGTTTAGTACATATAGAGAGTTTCGGTTTCAAAAGAAGATAACCAAAACGAGTTTCCTCGTTTATTTTATAATCATAATTATGCAACAATTCGGTACAAAAAAAATACAGCGTTGGTAGTTAGTATCGACGGTAGGTATAGGCTTAGCCATTTGCCATTATAATGTATAGCGGTACATCTTCCCAAATCTAAACCATTCAGAATGTTGGTTTCATAAAGATTACATAAGCAACTATATTCATCAGATTTCCCATAAGCCCCCATAAAAACAAAAAAAAACGATTTAATGTACCAACATAGTATGTTAGATATGAATAAATATTATAAATTATAATAAAGACATAACATAAAGATAAGTGTGTTAGTCACAATTACACATTAACACATTATATAATACCTATGCTAGTTAATATACACGGGACAAACGGGTAAATACAGAGTGACTCTTAACACTAAACGTCGAACATATTTTATTGGTAGATACTTGTCTAACTGTCTTCTTGTATATTAATAGTTAATGACACTTCTGACTTCTTATAGTTTTATCTAAACTAAAAACTAAAAATTCTGTAAAGTGGCTTGTGGCCCGTGGGTGTATTTGTGTGTGTGTCTATTTTTGTAATGAACTAATGACATAGGTACCCGCATACCGGTGTCATCCGAATATTATTTTAATTTATAATTTAATTTTAGATTCTGCGCGGAGCGATAATGACTGTATTGATTTTGCAATGATGTATGTTTTTTTTGTGTTTGTCGTCACGTTTAGGGACAGTAAAAGCGCTTCGATTTTCTTCAACAGCATATTTTATGGTAGGAAAGAGAATCTAGTTGGTACTTTTTTTGAGGGGGGGGGGCGAGGGAGCAAAGAAAAAAATTCAAATTAGTAAAACAAAGTAAAAATTAAGGGAAAACGGGGATTTGTAAGCAAAACCAGTTTTCGGCAAAATCTAAAAATATAAAAGAACAGTTTTTTTTCAAATACCGACGAAATTACATATTAAATAACCAAGAATAATGAATTATGCTATTCTGTTGTAAATTAAAAATATTTTTCGTGGGTACTTGAAATTTTAAAGAATATTATTATATTTTATACATACAATAATTATTCAAATGTATTTTTTGTTAGCACAAATGAATTTAATCTACTAAGTAGTAATAATGCTTACTAGTAAAATAAATTACTTTAATCATAATAATATCATGAAACATACTAAATTACTAAGTAATATTATAGACTTACGGACAGTCTTCGCTCAGAATCGTTTTTCGTATACAATGGTTTTATATCATTGAATTCAAATTTAACACCATCCATTATAGTGGCCTACTTGTAAACTACTGTACAGCAGATTGACATCCACTTACCCGATTTTTTTTATTTCTTGTTTATTAAATCAATTCTATTAATGTGAATGTACATAATTGTTCAAAATTTCTGATGTCTGATGAGTGATGATCAGAGTGCCGCACTACTCGTACTGCCTTGACTCATGATATTTAGATATCATATTCTATCACATCATTATATCAATTGGCATAGGTACTGTAATAGTAATCTAAAAGGTAGGTACCTAACTCAGTTGTATGATTAAATTTGTTTATGGGTTAATTCTTATTCTATTTGGTTTACACTGCCCAAGCACATATTTTGTTATTGGACAATTAGAAGACACAAATGTGATGATGTGAACTCTGAATATTTTAACAATGGTCTTTGATAAAACTTATTAGGCGAAGCACTTCTTATCGGAGAGTGTTCATCACACAAGTATGTAATATTATTTAATCCCTCCCCCCATAACAGAATTTAATGTACGCCACTTTATACAATATTGACTAACCTGACCTTACTCCTTAGTAGATTCTTGCCTTCTATTAGCACATCCTGTGTTAAGCTTAAAACTTCAGGAAGATATGTCAGCGCAATATTTGTTTTCTCTCAGACCCACGCGAGACATAAATAAAAGTATAAAATGCATAGTTTTTAATGATTTATGTGTATAATTAACTATCACAAAAATTAAAAAGGGTAACAGTTTTGAGGGTTTGACAAATCAGCTTTAGGATCTTCTCTTCTCTACCAGACATTTGGTATTCAACACCGCCTGAAATAAGTAGGTCTCAGCGACTCAGCCTACAGGGTCAACAAAAATGCATTTTGATATTTGATTGCACCGAGTGGCCGGGATAGGGTCACTCATTCACTACAAAAGTTAGATGCTCTGATGCTCGTACTATTTAAAATTAAAATGTTACAAATATTGCGACAATATTACAATTTATAGCAAGTGACGATCTTCGAGTGCTTAAAAACTATAAAAATAGGGAGACTTATAGTAAATACTATGTATAGAAAAAGATTTTACAAAATTAATTAATGTTAATAAAGTTGAAGATTCGTTTGCAGAAAAATATAGGATGTATATTTATAATATCTTGTATAAACTTGTACTTAACTCTTGTATACCTACCTGTAAATTGTAATACTGTTATTGACTATTGTATTCATTAGACAAAACGAAAAGAGTAGTCAGTCAAATCTCAAATCTAAACGATGATGGATTTGCTATCAAAAAACAAACATAAAAGTATATAAGTACCTGTGCATAAACAAATATTTGATTACACATTTTATCAGGTCTACTCTAATCGAAGCAGGGCATAATACACATTTTCGATAAGATAAAATGACAAAATCAAGCTTTTAATACCACGAGTGTATAATATAAATCATTATGTTTTTCTTTGCTTCAGTGAAAATACATCAATTTAAACGACAAACGAGTATTTTTAAACTATGGCGACTATAGAAAACCATACTACCAATTCGTTCGACTTAAAAGAGTGGTAAAGCCTAAACAATAATGGTTTAGGTTTGATCACCAAATTACAAAAATTTGTTACATTTCACTCACTGAACAAAAATGTACCTGCGGACATCTGATGAAGCAAAGGTTCAAATGAACCAATAAACAAACAGTAATGGAAAAATGGATTTGTCGAGAAAAAGTTGGAGGAGCAAATAAAAAAGAAAAAATACATGCCACTATAGGTAAATAGAAAAATTGTAGGTAGATCCATGAAAGTATCCATCATTATAATTATTTTTAATTTACTTTATTTATTAAAAATGTCCAGCATCCACGAAAAAAATATTTGAACACTTCATAAAAACATATTTAGGCAAAATACATCAGTATTTGTACATCTATACTGTACTCTTTGCCCTTTAGGAGTGTTAACTTTAAATAAATAAATAAATCAATCAATCAATAAATAATGATCTTCCAACTAACAACATTTCCTGTTTAACGAAATATTTTTGAGAGCCAAATTAAAGTATAGAATTTGATTACCTATATTTAACAAAATTCTCCAAAATACGAATTTATTTTTAGTGCCCATAAGGCTTCGTAATATAGTAGTTTCGCTGTGTAAATAAAACCGTGATAAGTTTATAATTTTAAAAGTTAAATATGATATTAATCATGAATTTCAAAAACATCATTCCCTTTTAAAAATATACTGTATAGTGTATAACATTCATATAAACATAAACATATAATTGTATTTTATATTATTATATATTTTAATAAACAACAGGCGAATTTTAGGGTAGTTTTTTATACAAGAAATATTTTTATTTGTATTGTTTAAAATTGTTAATCTAACCCATCACCTCTCAAATGTAATCAAGAGCCTACTACAACAGGTGATCCATTTCGTGGCTGGTTCAGTTTAGCACGTGAGAGATAATATTTTTTTAATAAGAACGCGACGTAGATAATCGTGACTATAGGTTAGGTATATACTAATATACTAATAGCCAATAGGTACCTTATTAGTCTATACGTTTAAGCAACAAAACATTTTAAAAATATATTTGAAATACAAAATACAAATTACAATTGTTTTGCGCTACAGAAAATATAAAATACAAAATGTATTTCAAATACAATTAATTGAAATACTGCAGCCCATCCCTGGTTGTAAGTATAGCCAGTGGCAGTTTTACGGGGCTAGAGGAAGGTCGGCATGGGTTAGTCGCTGTCCCTTCCCCAACATTACCCTGTGAAATCGTCTAAAAATACACGAACAAAAATACTTAATACCTACTTCCTACCTACCTACAACCTACCTAACTGCGAACTACAATTGTCATTAGGTAATACATATAAATAAAATATATTTTATAAGTTGATATACAATGTACCTATAGAGCACTTAAAAGTACTTCTCGTGTAACCCTATCAAAAAAAATAGTAAATGCTCCCTCCAGGACAAGTCTAAATATTAATAGGTACTATAATAGTTTTAACTAAAATTTATCAACATTTAACTTGTAAGCCTTGCGATGATACTTGAATGTACCTACCTAATATTGTAATAACTATAATAATCCAATATAAATTATGTATAGGTACCTATAGGCTATAGTAATAAAATTGTATGAATAATTTAGAATATCTGAATTCTGAATATATTATATGCTGGGTGATTTACCAAGCATATGCCACCCCCCTTTTCTTCATTAATGTAGTTATTCAAAATCTGATTTTTTTAAATTTTTAAATACACTTTAAGACCATATTTTCGAATTCTTGAGATTTGTTGTACTGTTTAAGAAGTGTCTGTGGGGATACAAACTTTGTTTTTCAAATAAGAACATCCCTATTCAGCTATAAATTATTATACAGAGTAGATAATTTTTCTGAAATTGTATGAGTTATTTAATTTTGTGTTCTAAGGATAAAAGGTCCTTAAGGTCTACAGTAATGAGTTTATAAGATGTGGGGCTATGGTGATTTAAAAATTGTAGTAATTTATATTAATCTATCGATATTAATAAATTGTAAAAATGGCCTAAGTATAATAAATACTAGATCATATTTTATATATATGTTAACCCAATATTAAGGACTATTTTCTTTTGTACAATCATTTTAATAACTAAGAAACTACCATTGATTATATAATATGTATTATATAATCAATTAAACTACTGATTCGAATTTTGAATGTGGTACATAATTTCAAAAAAATTATCCACTAATTAATTTACAGTAAAATACGGGGGTTCTTATTTGAAAAACAGAAGCTTGTATCACCACAGGACACTCCTTAAGACTTAAGTAGTACAAAAAAATTTAAGAATTAAAAATTATGGCCTTTGAGTATAGGTATTTAAAAATTCAAAAAATCAAAATTCAAATAAACTCATTATTTTATTAAAAAATGGGGGTGGAGAATGCTTATTGAATCACTCTGTATATTTGTTTCTAAGCATTTATGAACTCACATGTACCTAGTTTATTATATACCTGCTATGTAGTATGTACCTATATAATATTATATTATAGTATTACCCAATTCACCACGGTTCACGTTTGACCAACGTTCAACTTTTTATTTTAAATTAATAATTAGCTACGATTTTTTTTTATGTTGAAAATGGCAGTGGTAGGGAGTGGCGCATTACACCTTCTGGATTGGATTCTGATTTCTGATTAGGTGGGATCGTTATGTTACCTCAGACTTCAGACCTAGTGGTCTTTTATCTATGCTTCAGACTTCTGTTGCAATAATGTGTCACATGTGCGATGTGTCAGATTTTAATATTATTTATTTATGTACATTGTACAATAATGATAAGAAATCATGATACTTTGATAAGATAAAAGATAATTTATAATTGTTGTTAATTCTTCCTGTTCGTGCCGAGTGCCGACTGCCGAGACTGTCCAGTGTCTCCGCTCAATAATCATCTCTAGGCAAACAATAAAAAACTGTCAAACATCAAAAAATTTTCTTAGGTTTCTCATGAGAGAAATCCTCATTAAAAAGTGAAGGCATTCCGTTGACGCTGGCAACGAAACCGCGCGGTGTGAAATCATTTAAATATTGTGCACACGCCACATACGTCTTGAGTAATAATAATAGTAATAATAATAATACTGATAATAATTTGTTTAACTTATAATCCATACTCGACACATAAAAGTACTACAACAATCATGTCTGTATTTAGGAGCTGTGTGTACTTTGTACATTCATTGTACGTGTTAACGTGAAAAACGTTTGTCTCGTGAAATCGCATTATGCAACAACAATCGTTTCAATGGGCATAACCAAGTATCAATGGACGAAAGGGTAAGCATCCGTGGTAATACAAAGCCTCTAAGGAAATATGGCAGCATAAGTAACAACACAAACTTTGTACGCAATGAGCACTACATCAAACATGTTGTCACGGCGACAGACACATTGCAAGGGCTTGCACTTAAGTACAGTGTGACGGTAAATAAAAATATTTAGTATTAATATTTTAATTAATAACTTTTGATGTCTTCATCTTATAATTGTATGTGTTTATTACATTGTCCTTTTAGACTGAGCAAATACGAAATGCCAACCGACTGTTCACGAATGACAGTTTGTTCTTAAGGGAACATCTAAACATACCTACTTACGATATCAATGCCACTGGAACAAGCAACTTCCAAAATGACAAAGGGTCAAAACCACCCAATATATCACCAATTGAAGAGCACAACATCGATGACTGTAATAATTTCTTAAATAAAATAGATAACAAAATTGCTAGTGCAAGAGCTCAAGTTATAGATAGTCAAGACAGAAGTGTGTAAGTTATTTCTTAAAAATTATTTACCTAAATGTATTTACAAATAATTTACAATTTCTATAAATAATTTGAATTTTACCTTATTACAACTTAAAAATATCACATTTATTGATTTTCTTTAAAAAAATATTTAAATTTTTAATATTAAAATCATTGGGGGCTCATGAATGAACCCCCATAAAATCTGTTGCCTTGAATCTATTACGAGTCTAACTTTGAGTGCCACTTCAGTATTTTATAACTCATTAGGTTACCATTATTAAGATAGGCAAACAAATGTCTTCATCTAATTCAATTTATAAATTATGTAGGTGTTTGGATACTTACTGGTTAAATTAACAAAGAATACAAATGACACCTAACCTATATAATAATCCTATTCTCTTTGATCTTAATTGATGATAATTAATTCAGAACTAATAAACCTATTGATTATTTATGTTAACTATTTTAAGCTATTAGCTCTCATAACCATTCCAATACCATACACCCATTCTCAAATTATGTAATATACTAATTTATATTAAGTTTGATATTGGTAGAAATGTACAATATTATTATTTGTTGGTTATAAAGGTACTGTCCAGAAGAACAAGTACTGTTTACACGCCAACGATTAACAAGTCGTAGAATACAGGGTCCTTCAATAAGTACAGATGAAATACCTATAATAGTGACCCAGAATATAAAGTTAATGAGTTCACGGCAGCGGCTGGAACAAGAGGAAGAAGAAATGTTTACTCTGTGATAAATAATAATATAATGTACCTAGCCAATATTATGTTTAACTATAACTATTTCATAGTAACTATCTTAAAATAATTTTGATTGAAATGTTGACATATTAATATAATCTAACTGAATTGTAACTTGTTTCTAAAAATCTGTTGTAATGTAATTAACTTTCAATCTAAGTAAGGTTGTGGTTATGTAATTATTTATGTTTAAAATTACATTTATTTCTTGCCTATATTTGACATGTAACAAATTATGTGTTTGGTTCCGTTTCAATGTTGTAATTTAAAATATTATTTTTGATCAATAAATTGTGTTTTCTGTTAATTCTTGGTATTTTAAATATATATATTTTCATTATTATTGATATTATATATCTTTAATTAACTGTAGAATATTTCAAAACTTCTGGTGACACAACAATAGTCACCTTTGTTCAAAAAGTTTATCATCATATCTCTAATTTGTATGTACTATGTATACTTTATACATTTATCACATAATATAAAAAAAATATTTATTTAGTTTTCAAACTGAATATTAAATTATATTTTAAACTCTTACTATTATGGTATTTATATTTATTGAACAAATCTATTTGAAGTTCTTTTTTTTATTAATGGCCAATCATAGTTACTCTCAAATAACTTTGTTTGCTATAAGTAAACAAATTCACTAAACTAGCAATGTTTGTAATATATTATGCCATAACAGTGGCAAAACTAACTTGATCTTTGAGAAGCAGTTGCTTCTCAATTTTTTTTAAATATTCAGTTGTCTGTGGGTGGTTGCTAAATATGAAAGTGAAAAACAATTATATAGTAGGCAAATAGTAATGCTAATACTACTTGTGTTTTTAAAAATTGTAGGTAGGAACTACTAACTAGGAAGGTTGGTGGTGGAGCAATTTCAGGTTGCTAATCGGTAATTTAAGGTTCATTTCACCACTGTGCCATAGAATATAGTACTATGTTCTCTGAAAGGTATTTATTTTACTTACAACAATTAAGAGTTTAATTAAATTTTATTTTTAATAAATAGAAATATTTATAATTAATTGCATATTCATTCTAATGAAATACCACTAATGACCCCACAACCACGAAGTAGTAATTTGATCAAGGTTAAGTGTACAATCATAGTTTTTAAATATCCTGATGCATTCATAGAAATCTACTATGATTATACATTTGCACTTCGTGGTTTTTACTTTTTTATTATTTTTGGTGAGTACTGAGTAGCATTGTGTTAAGCTGTCAACCAAGAAAATATTACAAAGAATATCAACAAGGTATCAACATTTTCAATTTTTACCTCTCAAATGTACCTCTATTAGATCCAATTTGCTATCAGAAACCACCCTCAAAAATTAAAATTAAAGCATTAGTTGACTACTTAACAGTATTTCAGTATACTTTATAGGTATAACTAAACAAAGAAATTTAAAAAAAAATATTGTAAAATTTCACTTGTGGCTCTATCCATTTTAATATTGAATGATATAGGTAATCTTAACGTAAATAGGGGGGAGGGACTTATACTATTATTGTTCTATTCTGTGATTATGATTTATGATAGAGCTTCAGCTCTCCCCCCCACCCCCCCAAAAGGCAAAATCTCAAATGGTATTAGCACCTATTACTTATACGGTTATCCATAAATAATAAATTTAAATAATAAAATAAAATAAACGCTGTACGGCGTTATCCATGACCCACCCATTTAACAAAATTACGATTTACGAAAATAACCAAAAATAAATAATTATTAATTAACATGACGAGTGTATTGATTTCCGTAAACCTAATAATTAATACAATTGTCAATTAATATTATTACAAAATCAATACACATCAATGTAAATTGTCTTGGTGGATGATAAATTGGTGGATTTAATATTTCTTATCAGAACTGTGATAAAATATCTGTAATAGATAATACCTAAAGACCTTGTGGGCTGTGGCTTGTACTCATAGACCTTATACTAAGTATACTTAACCGTGAATATTATTGTTTTGTGATATTATTATTTATTACCGACTGCAACGTCAACAACTGAAAGCTGGAAAACCAAGAAATATAGACAATTTGAAACAAAAATACATTAGTCGGGAATGTTCACAGATAAATATAGATGTTGGATAATTGAAACAGCAAAATAAATAAATAAAATACCCACATTTATAATATTTCTTGATATATATTATACACTTGGAGCTGTTCAATAAATATTGATCCTAGAAATACCTACGTAAGTTATTAATATTAATTCATATTAATTTTTCCATAATTTTTAATTAATTTTCAAATCAAATTGTTAACTAGATGTGCACAGTCTGCCCATGTGCTACAATACCTATTGTTTGTATCATAGTTAATTGAAGTTCATTCATTATTAAACTGTATTTGTGAAGATTAAATACAACCACGGCAAAGTGACAATGATTGCTGTTAAGTGTATCATTACATCAATAAATAATGACTACTGGTGTTAGTTCTGTTAGCATAAGTATGTATGTATATTTATTTTCTAAATAAATTATTTAAAATATCAAGATTCATAACATGGACATAAAATTAAAGCGTTTTGTAGGCATAATAATATTTAACAAATAAAAATAACATATAAATGTGTAGGTAGTCAATAAATTATAGTTCAATTGTAAATTTTAAGACTGGATAAATATTTTGCTTGAATATTTTATTTAAATGGTAATATATCAATGCTCTCTAACTCAAACTAATAGTTTTATAATATTTTTGAAATTATTTAATAACTACTTAATACATTTTTACAATAATAAGATCATATTAAAACAATAGCAAAAAATGTCCACTGCTCTCTTCCAAACTCATCAGGTGCAGTCTACTATAACCTTCTTACTCAACTCTTCGTCGATTAAAACGAGGTCGTCCTCACGACCACCTACACTAAGCCACCTTTCAACATCCAAATCTTCACTCTACACATGCGCTTCTTCCAGATCATTTTGTGACTTCTCTGTACTTATAGTTATACTATTGTAAATATGTAAATATTAGTATATTATTGTAATCACATTACTTCTGTGCATCTAAAATTACCAATTATTAATTATCCATAGTACTAAAAAATACTTTTAATTATCATGTTAATCTGTTAAAAGTTTAGGACTAATATGCAAATTGTCAAACATCACTAGATATAGACAGCCTAAGGCTAGAAATGTCTTATGTTCAAAAAAAAAAAAACAATAATATATTTACATGTATAGTAGATAATGGGTATTATGGAATACAATTAAAGTATTACATAAAGATTATAGACTGTAGTAGTGTTACAAGTTTGGAATTGATTTATATTATGTTAATACTTAATCATAGGTGTGCACAGACATGCATCTTTGGGGGATGCCTATAATATGTTTGGGTCCTCTCAACAACACATGTACATATTAACCAGTGGTTTATAATTGTAATTACCCGTACAACATTTTTATGTCCTGTTGTCAATTTGTCATATTGTCTTACTCGTTGCTCTAGAATCTAGATAATATCAGTTTCTTAGAACTAGTGTTTTAGTCTGCAGATTAATGCTTAATTTAATATCTAAAGAGGTATCAATAATTGATATATTATTTATTTATATTAGACAAGTTATAAAAGTCCATAATATTTTTAATTTTCTGTGATTATTTAATACCTATTATAACCTAACATTTTATTATTTCATTGCAGTTATAAATGTCTGTATCAGAATACTTTAGTCAACAAAATGAACTTGAAACTGATGATTTAGCTGATCGTTTTATAAACTTAGAAAATGATCTTGTATCTAAGCTAAAACTTCTGGATTATGGTCCGAACATTGATTTTATTTATAGTCCATTAGAATATGCCTCCAATTTGCACAAAGTATTTTTACAAAAGTTTTTAAACTCAAACATAAAAGTATTATTCTTAGGCATTAACCCAGGACCCTGGGGAATGTGTCAAACTGGTGTAAGTATTTAATTTTTAATTTTTAAAATAGTTAATTAAATATATCATTTTAATGACTGTTAGATACCATTTGGTGAAGTTGAAGTTGTCAGAAGTTATTTAAGAGTAGATGGAGAAGTATTAACGCCAGCAAAGTGTCATCCTAATAGACCAGTTACTGGTCTGAACTGTCGTAAAAGTGAAGTAAGTGGTAGAAGATTATGGGATCTTCTTATTGAACTTACTGAAGACGATCCATATAAGTTTTTCAACAATTGCTTTATTCATAACTATTTTCCTTTGGCATTAATGAATAAAAATGCTAAAAATATTACACCAGCCGATTTAAAGGTAATATTTTAAAATTCAGCTTTCATTTATTATCTTATTCATTAGGTACTTGTGTTTTATGACCTTGTTATTGAGTACTATAAATTACCATCAATCAAAATTGTATGACTTAAAACTTTTTTGCCTATATTAGTTTAATACTTTGGATTTTTTAATCCAGTATCATTTATGTAATTGCACTAAAAATAATTATTTTATACTATACCTAATATTTATATATTTTGTATAATTTATTATATATATACAGTAAATTTATTTACAATAAAAATATGAGTTCATTTTATGAGATATGACTTGACAAATGTGAGGTAAACCATAGAAGATTTAACCTACATGGCTGGGGAAACAAAACTTAAAAATATGATCATATAATTGTATAAACCTTTCCAGTCTCCAAAAACCATGGCTTAGATTAGTTCCAGACTGTAACATTATATTATTTACTTCAAATTTTTCAATTTCTTATGTCATGAGCTGCACTCCCTAGCACTATTATTCTAAATTTAAGGTACTATCATATTAGTATATTACCATATAATGATACCATTATATATAAAATCAAATTTGATTGATAAAAAAAAAAACAAATCAATTTAAAAAAAAACAATAACCAGTATTAGTTTCAATAAATGTATTGACTTTAAAATTAATTTGTTATAATCAATGCTTTTTGTAGCAGAAAAAATGATTCAATCTTCAACTTTGAAGATAAACTATGGTAGGAATTTGGATCTAGTTACTTAAGGTGAATTAAAAGTAGAAATTTTAATTTTTTTAGCTTTATTTTATTTATGTTCACAAACTGTATCTAACTCACAGAGCTTGAAAATGTGACACAAAGGTTTCTAATGAGCTGTTCTTAAAAAAATTTAAAATCATCAAAACTCCAAAACCATTTTTATAAGGGTGAAGCTTAGAATTTTAAATTTAATCTAAATGATAAAAATTTGCAAATTATTTTGTAGTCAAAAATGTATTACATTTTCACAACTAAGGCTGAAAATATTTTAAATTTCACTTCTTAATAATTATATGTATGATTAATTGACTTATGCAGAAGTTGTCATTTGTATTAAATTTAAAAAAAAATAAGTAAATAATTGTATACCACACAACATTGTACAACTGAACAATATTATCAAAGAGCAAATGATTTAATATATTATAGCAGATTGTAGGATCAATACTACAATCTACATTTACAACTACATTATACATTTATGCTGTTGTATGATATACGTATTCAGATGTACACATTTATTTATCTATTTTACATAACTTATTAATTATGTTTTAGAGTCTATACCAAAAAAAGTTACAAGAAATCTGTGACAAATCATTGAGTGACATAGTTACTTTACTTCATATTGACACCATTGTTGCTATTGGAAAATATGCTGAAAAAAGGTCTAACGAAGTAGTAAAGAATTTTAAATTAAACAATATTAAGGTACAATTAGAAAATTAGTTTAAATTAATGCTGGAATAATTCACAAACAAATTATAATCTTAGGTTGTACGAATTCCTCATCCCAGTCCCCTCAGTTTTGGCAGAGCAGAAGATTGGAAAAAAGAGACTTTAGTTTTACTCAAATCATACAGTATTCTCCAGTTGTTCAGATAAAAATGGATTGGAGTGATCATATGAATAAGTCATTGTGTTTAGCTAAAGAAGCATTAGAAGTAGGGGAAGTTCCTGTTGGCTGTATTTTTGTTGATAATGACGGTAATATTTTAGCTTCAGGTCGTAACACAGTAAATGAAACAAAAAATGCAACTAGGCATGCTGAAATAAACTGTGTCGATTCAATTGTTCAGGCTGGCTTTTTAGAAAAACTATCTAACATAACTGTTGTTGTTACTGTGGAACCTTGCATAATGTGTGCTGCAATGTTGATAAATATCGGTTGTACTAACATTATTTTTGGTTGTGCTAATGACCGTTTCGGTGGCTGTGGTACTGTACTTGCTGTTCCTGGTTTAGAAAAATGTAAAGTTCAAGGTGGATTATTTGGAAACCAGGCCATGGATTTACTTAAACAATTTTATAAAGGCCAAAATCCAAATGCTCCTGAAAATAAAGTTAAAAAAAAACTTGTAATTCCATAAAAGACAATTTTATTTTGCATTTATACTTATATAATTTGATCTAAGGCGAGTAATTTTAAACAATGTATTTTTTTTTTTTTGAGATGTAATATTTTTTAACTATATAAATTTTGTTCTAAGGTGTTCAATTTCTAAATTAAATTGTTTTAATGAGATATCTTTGTTTGATGTATATTTCACAGTTTTTGTTTTGTTTAACATAACAAATCCATTTTCACTGAAGTTGCCATCTATTAGAGTAACATTTAGCCAAACAAATAAGCCTATTCCTGTTGATTCCAATTTAACATTTACTTGGTTTTTCTTTTCTTGCCAAATTCTGGACACCTGCGAAGAAAAATCAACAAATGCTCATTTTTTGTAATCTGTAGATATGAAATTACGGAAACATAATATTTTTAATTTTTCTTATACATTGAAATCTTATATTAAACAAGGTTTTTTTTTTTGTATCATATGCTTATAATTTATATTGCGTAATGGAGCAATTCTTGTTCTAATCAACTAGTAATGAAGTGTAATATTTTGTTTTTGCACACTTCTATAAAATATAGGTACAATATACACAAATATAATATTATACTCTCAAGTTTAAATGCATGATTAATAAATGATTAGATTATGAATTTATAGTAAATTTTGTGTGACCATTTAGAATAGAATTAAATAGGTAATTAATATTTGCAAAGCTTTTTGAGAACAAATAATGGCGTATTTATGATTTTTTTCAAAAGTAAGGTAGAAATAATTTTAATTAAGCTAAGGTATGAAATCAACCATGTAATTACTCCACTATGCCTACATATATACACAGGAAAAACTAGACCTCTAAAACCTGGGGTGTTATAATTGTATATTATGTCTTAAGCTTATATATGCCCCCCTCCACACACACACACATACACTCCTGCTACTATAATTTCATAATTGTATAACTGGTTATAAATTACTACAATCATTGATACTTGAAAACTTTTTTTACACATCTTAACACACTCCATATTTATAATGGAAACAAAACATAGGTACCTGTAATACTCTTTTTATAAATATTGTCTTAAGTTTTTTCAAAAAAAAACGTTAATAATTGATATAAATCTCATGAGGGTTTACTAACAAATATTAATACACAGTCCTCCACAGTATACATAAATTTAGTACTTTTCAATATGCCCCATTGGCTAAAAATTTTTTGTGAACAATCCATTTTTCCATAATGTGTGGCTTTAAAGGATATTGGACCCGCTCGTGTTGTTGTTTCCGTCTCGCACTTATATAATATACCAAATTTTTGTTAACTAGTTTCAATAGTGAGCTATTAGTTATAAATTATGATATTACTTTCTATCGTTTTATCTCTTTAATAATTACAATAAATTGTTTTATTTTGTAACACAAATTGTTACTTTAGAAATACACATTAAATATTCAATTTGTTTACATAACTTATAATGATAGTAGTGAACATGAATATTTACTCAATCAAATATCAAATAGGTATATGGAATTATTTTTATTCCAAAAATAACCATATATTTAGCCACAGTTAGTTTTATGTAGCCATTAATTAGTTTAAATTATTTAGATTCTTAAATTAGCATTACTAATTAAATTAAATAATCATTATGTTAAACAAAAAAAAAAAAAAATTACCGATATATTAGGTGTCTCATAACCAATGATTTTGTTGAATGTGGTAGGGAACAGGTAATTTGATGGTGACACCTCTGTCATATTTATATTATTATAATATAGTTTTGTATGCAAAAAACAAGATCGAATCTGTTGGTCTTTGCTTTGACCACATTCCTGTGTCATTCCTTTTAACCAATTAAAATAGTTTTCGTTTAAAATTAACTGGGCACTATTATTTTTCTGAAACAAGGGAATGTTTGATTGAAAATTAATTTTATAATATTGATAATTAATGTTCAAATAACACTACTAACCAATAATATAGTATCTGATATGTATGTAGAGAGTGGTATATTGCTTTTCCAGCTATATACCTCCACATTAAAAATTACTTCCAAATCCACTAGAATATCAGAAACAACATAAATTGTTAAATTATTTGAAATTTCTAATTCTGGAACTATAATAATTGGCGAAAAAAAATCTTTTGCACTATAGTGTAACATTTTCCATCGTTGGTCATAATCTGGAAATAATATTTATCCTTCATATTAATACATTTATTATTTTATTCATCGATTCATAAATTCATAATTTAAACATAAATATCTATTTTCATAAAAACTGTCATACCTATGAACATAAGCGCATGTGGCATGTGGCTGGGGAGAGTCTAAGGAGTGGTTTGTTGCGTTAACCTCCCACCCCAAAAAAAAAAAACTTAAGATTTTACACTACATGGGAATACATAAAAAAAGTTCACCTCTACATCAAATACATCAAAAATCTCTCCCTCTCCTAAATCTCAAACGCTATATGCCCCTATGCCTTTATATCTGTGTTGGGCAAAAGAAATCTATGTTTAACTAATAAAAAAAAAAAAAAAAAACTAATTTTTACAGTTTCTAAGAATTTGACCTGTAACTGAAAATTAATGTATTCATGCATTCCATTAAATATACATGTATTGAATTTACCATTTCTTAAGAATAAACATTATGTAATATTTATGTTAAAATAAATACAATTTTATAATTAAAAAATAAATATGTGAGATTAATCATAGATATACTATAAGATTAAAACTTAAGAATTATCAATAATTTATTTTTTTCAAAGCCAAATTATATATAATTTAACATCAATATTACATCATCTTAATCCTTAAGTATAGACCAATTCAATGAATTTATGTTAAAATGTATACATTCTTAATTATAGATAAAATCCTTAAAATTTTGATCATCAATTATTAATCAGAGCATTTTTTGTTCAACACCAGATATGTATGCAAATTAATTTTTATTGAAACAAAAAATGTTAAAATAGTTTTATTACCTATTGATGACCAAGTTGGTGCTTGCCAGACATCATTTAACTGCCAATATAATGCACCCATTGTTAAGCCTCTACCATCCTTTAATAATGTATTTCTATGTTTTCGATACCATTCTGTTTGTATTCTCATAGCTCTAGCTTGAACAATCTAATGTAATATTAATAATAATAACAAGTGATAATTGATATCTTATAAGATAGCTTTAATTACAATTACTTACTTGACTCAAATACACATAATCACTAACTGTAGGGTTTGGAGGTACAGGTAAATTGATTTCTATTTGATATAACATGAAACCGTATCCTAAAGGTAGATGTTGTCTATGAATCAGTGCTGGTGAAGGAAAACTAATTAAATCATTTACATCAAAAGCTTTTTGCAGTGTCTGATATGCAGGGAGAGACTGTAACCCATATTCTGATGCAAATCTAGTCCATGGAAAAAAAATTGAGCTCCAACTATTAACCTCATAGTTATAGTAATGTACTAAAAAAAATTTTAATTAAAAAAAAATGATGATTTAAAATTTATAAGTATAGGTAACTTACCATCTCCATATAATGCACTGTATGGATTTTCCGCTATATAATTTTCTTCTTCAGATTTTAAGCCATTAGTGGGACTTGACACCACAAAATTTCTTGTTTTATCCTCCTCCATTACTATTTTTTTTATTGTGTTGACATATAGTGCAATATAGTCCGTAGCAAACATAGAGTAATTGTTTCTTGTTCCATACCAATTGCCTCTTAATGCAGCTTCGTTTTCATTATTACCGGCCCATAATATTATGCTGGGATGATGTTGTAATCTTCTAATTTGCTGTTTTATTTCCACCTCTACTGTTTCTAAAAACTGATGATTGGCTGGATACATATTACAAGCAAACATCATATCTTGCCATACCATTATACCTAACTTATCACATAACTATGCAATACATTTTAAATTAGTATCAAGTTATTTTAATTTTAAATAGGTACCTTAATTAATAATTACTTTGTAAAATACGTCACTCTCGTACACTCCACCACCCCATACACGGATGGTATTCATATGAACTTGTTTAGCTGCAGTTAACAAATTACTTATAACATTTTCATCATTCATTTTCTCTGGAAATACGTTGGCTGGAATATAATTAGTGCCTTTAGCAAATATTGCCACACCATTTATTTTAAAATAAAAAGATAATCCTGAAAAAAAAAATATAATAAAAATTCTCATCAGATTTTGTTATACCTAATAATTACTTATAAAACTTATAAATAGGACTTGGAAGTTGATGACTTTTAGATTTATTTTTTTTGAAACTCTTTACAATATGAAAATTTCCTAGTTGAAAATGTGTTTTAATATTTATGAATCTAAATAAATATTATTTTTTATTTTATTTTCGAAATTTTTTGTATTTTCATCAGTAATTTTTACCTATTTCCACTAATTGGAAGAAAAATCTTCTTTTTTTTCGTTTACATGATTTATGTCAAATTTTACAATTAAAATGCATTTAAAAACTATTAATCTGTCAAAACATTCATACTTTTAAAATATTATAAATAAACATTTATAAACTTAGAATGATAGTTTCTATTTTATTATTTAATGTAAATAGGTAGGTATTTAATTTATAAAATTAATTAGAAAAAGTAAGTATTATATGTTTTATCTTGTTATTTTATGGCTCATTTTTTTTTTTTTTTTGATAACATTTCTTGGGCAAATTTGAATTTTGTTTAGGACCTAAGCTAAACTAAAGTTTTAGTTCATTATTTAATGTTTTTGAGGTAGGTAATCAATTTCCAAGCCCTATACTTATTACTACATTTTTAGTGTACCCAAGCTTGGATCATTTTTATCAATTTGTTTCTGAATAAGTTCAGCTGTTCTGAATCCTATAAAAATTGTTCTTGATTGAACGTCATCATTTTTAGTTTCAAATTCTATGCTTAAATTGTACAGTGGCTGTTCACCATATCCATTGGGCCACCAAGTTTTTACATCAGTCTAGAACATAAATTGCATTTTGTGAATTTGTAGGTATGTATCAATATTTATAATTTATTATATATTATATGATACAATAAA